GTGGGTCGGTACCGACTCGATGGCACCTAACAACAACAACACACTACATTACATTGTCTATACTATATCACACTGATACATGTAAGCTTGTTGGTGTGCTACGCTGTCTAGTTGGTTCTGATGCCTAGAAAGCCTGTATAGGGGTTCCTAGGAGCAACTGGTGAGTCTGAACCACCACCAATCTTGCAATAAGCAGTCTAATGCTTATCCTACAGCACCACATCAGGACTCATACATGTAAGCTGGGTTTACAAAAAATGTTTTTGTTGTTATAACTAACTACAAGGATATCCTTTTTAAAAATAAGAAATTTCCATTGAAACACTGTGCAAAAATTTAATAAACAGTCCTTTTAGAGTCCCCTCTGACAGTGTCCATACCCTCATAGACTCCCAAGTGAAGTCATGCTTGGCAGCAATTTTTACAAAAACAAAATCACTTGACTGCTAACCGGTTGAAAGGTCTGAGGTTAGAACCCATCGGCTACTCAACGAAAGATGTGGTAGTATGCTTCTGCAAATATTATAGCCTCAGAAAACTTATAGGGCAGTTCTACTCAGTCCCACATGGTCACAGTGAGTCCGAATAAACGTGAGGCAACAGTTTTTCATTTTTTAATCTTTACCAAAGCAAATCGAATCATGGGGAGAGTGGTTGATGTGGCTCGATTGTACGTGTGAAATTGTTGATATGGCAAATGTTTTGCTGTATATATATTGCTGCGGTAAAAAATATAAATTAGGCATGGGAATGAAAAAAAAAAAAAAAGGAGTGTGTGGGGGAAGGTAGAGTCCCCACTGAATAGGCCCTAGGACCATCAAAGGAGAAGAGCACAAGCGGAATGCAGGACCTTATCCAGAGAAGCAGAGACAGCAGAGATGGAGGCAGAGACGAGGACATGGAGAGAGGGAGCAGCTGAAGACTCTAGACTCATGGAAAGAGAGGGACTGAGTCCTGGCGGCCAGGAGGCAGGCTTGCAGAATGTGACTTTTGGTTGTTTAAATTATTGTATATTCCTGAGTGTTTTTGTGTACATCTCCTTCTCCCCCCCTCAAAACAAAAACAAAAACAAAAAACAGGGAATGGAAGCAAATACTGTTGAATGATGATGCACAGAGGAGATTGTAATCATTGTAATGAAATGATGGTGTAAAGCTGATGTTCTCCCATGTAAATTATCACTCAGTTCACAAAAAACAAACAACAACAAAAAAGCAGATTTATTGGCCTTTGTTTTAAGGATCACTGCATGAGTTAAATGCCCAATTAATTGGTGTTGTTAAGTGCCATCAAGTTGGTTCTGACTCATAGCAACCCTGTGTAGGGTTTCCTAGGAGCAGATGGTAGACCCTTGTGTTATCAGTCCTGTACTTATCTTAAAGCAGCACACAAGGACTCCTTTAGGTTAGTGGTGGCGGTGTGTTGTAGAGTCAGCTTTGACTCGTAGAGATCTTGTATATGGTTCCAAGGCTGTAAATCTTTATGGAAGCAGAAAGTCTTATCTTTCTCTCACGGAGAGCCTAGTAGACTAGAATTGCTGGTCCTGTGGTTAGCAGCCCAACGCAAAAACCCACGACGCTACCAGGGCTTCTTCCTTTAGGTTAACAGTGGAGCACAAACCATTTGTGCCAACCAGGGACCTTCCTAACCTGTGAGGCACAGACAAATTCACAGCGCTTAGGGTGTGCTTAAACAGCTAGAACTCTAATGAGTTAGCTAACTCTATCACTTAGGATGGCTTTTATTTTAAAGACCTACCTTCAAATACAGCTGCTCCTTTTATTAAGCAGGTTAATTTTAATGCTAGCTTTAAGAAATGACAGCTAGTGAAAGCAAAAGATTGAAGAAACATTGTTGTTGCTAAGTGCCATCAAGTTGACTCGGACCCATAATGACCTTGTATAGGGTTTCCAAGGAGTAGCTGGTGAGCTTGAACTGCCAACCTTGCAGTTCAAACAGCTTTTCAGACTGGTGTATTAATCCACAGCACCACACCAGGACTCCAAAGAAACATAACGTTAGACACTTTGTTGTTGTTGTTAAGTGCCGTTGAGTCGGTTCCGACCCATAGCGACCCTGTACAGGGTTTCCAAGGCTGTAAATCTTTACAGGAGCAGAACGCCTCATCTTTCTCCTGCGGAGCAGCTGGTAGTTTCGAACTGCTGGTCTTAAGGTTCACAGCCCGATTCGTAACCACTACGCTACCAGAGCCTTTAGACACAGATAAAATGTAGCAGCTCTGGCTAAACCTGAATTGCTTCATTCACAGTTCAATCTAATACAGTTAACCACCCCCAAACCCGGGTGTTCAAAATCTCTTATTTTGGAGTTAGACCCAGCTGGGGCTTGAAACTGGCTCCAGACGTTCAGCAACATTACCAGATGGTGAGTTCCTCAAGGAAGTTATTCTACTGTGAGTTTTAATTCCCTAGCCAGGTTTTTTGAGCATAATGTGCTTTCTTACCCAATCATCAGCACATTCAGCCTTCTCCTTAACTACCCAGTTCCTCTCTCCCTACCTCTACTCAAGGAAGAAATTGTGAGCCAGGGAGAGATGGATTGAATGGTTGACTATGGTCTTATATCCTTAATTTTAATGTTAGCTTTAAGAAATGACAGCTAGTGAAAGCAAAAGATTGAAGAAATATTGTTGTTGCTAAGTGACATCAAGTTGACTCGATGTGGTGCTGGTGTGGTGCTGTAGGAGAAGCACAGAACCACAAGGTCAGTTTGAACCATAAGGGTGATGGTTCAAACCCACCAACCATTCCTGGAAAACCCTGTACAATGTTGCTATGAGTCTGAACCAATTCAACGGTACTTAACAACAAAATCTATGTTGTCAGGTGCCATTGAGTAGATTCCAACTCACACCTACTCCATTTGATAGAGAAGATGTTCTTCCCTGTAATCTTTCTGTGACTCTGTGGGTTAATGTGCTGGTTTGCAAGGTTCGATGAACCACAAGGTCAGCAGTTCAAATTCACCAGCCACTCCTCAGAGTCCCTATACAGGATCACTATGAATTGGAACCAACTGAACGGCACTTAACAACAACAACAACAATCTTTATCCCACAGACTCGCAGAGTGGGTTTGAACCACCAACCTTTCTTTCACTTCACTTTTGCTCCACCAGATCTCCTTTATGCATCCCTAGTTACATATGCCCTTTTTTCTCTTTTTTGTTCTAAGAAATCCTCTTTCTTTTCAGTTTTACCTGATGATGTTTAAAACAATTAGGCTCTTTACCAATTCTCCCAAAGCAAGAGCAAGATCTGAATGCATCCTCCCGTTAAACAGGGTTTGAATTAGAAATAACCCTTCCCAAATCAAAAATAAAACATTGCTAAATACACTCTTCATATAGTGGATATTTGATTTTGCTTTTTGTTGGTTTGTTTCTGCTTTAATTTTAATTTTTTATTTGACTTTTACCCCAAGATTTGTCCTTTCTACTAATTTCCAGGAAAAGCAGTTAAGCTCTCTTTAAGCTCTCCTTAAGTTAAGCAGCATATATGATCCCAAAGTAAAATGCTGTGCTTTCCAAAGTCCTAGACTTGAGATATTTAGGAAACCTCTTGCGAAGCTTAGCGGACACTTGTTGCATGTGTCCTCAATAGGTTTGCTTTGTTGGAGTCTAGAGAGTTAAAATTGTTCAGACAACAAGCTACCAGATCAGCTGTGTGCATTGTGCTGGACAGGCTGGTGATTCAAACCTTCCCAGAGGTGCCTCAGAAGATAGTCCTGGTAATCTGCTTCTGAAAAGTCACAGTCTTGAAAACCCTAGGGAGCAGTTCTACTCTGCACACATGTGGTCTCCATGAGTCTGAACTGACTGAAAAAAATGTACAAAAGGGCATGAGACAGCATGTGCTGGCTTGCTACATTGGGTGTCAGGACTTGAACAATTGTCAGCTTTACCCATAGTTGGGTAATACTAAACATACTAAAACTATTTACATAGTTGGGTAATACTGAATACTAAAACTAGTTACAATTTTATCCATAGTTGGCTTCAGTGAAAGACTGTTGTAGTATCTCTCCTTTATTTAGCCTTTTGCACTAGTTTCCTTCCTTTTCATTAGAAATAAGGCCCACTGGGCAGTCCTGGTGTGGCGCTGTGGGTTAATCCCCCAGACTGCAAAGCCGTTTGAACTGCAAGATTGGCGGTTCAAGCTCACCAGCTGCTCCTCGGAAACCCTATACAGGGTCGCTATGGGTCGGAACCGACTCGACAGCACAAGGGCCACTGAGATTCAGTTATGGGGATGACGCCTGGTTGCCTGAGCCAAGGGGCAGGCAGGGCAGCAAATGCTTAATGAATGTTTAATGAATGAATACCTGTGAGATAACATGGGCAACCTGAGGCAGAGCTTTGGCCTCCTGTAAGGTGTTTTGATTCCGCACAACAGGTAAAATAGAAGCTCTGAAAGGCAGTGAATATAAGACGCTTTGGACCAAGCTTCCTGACGGTCAAAACTTTTATAGACAAATATTTTTCAGAAATGAGGTCTAAAATGGTGACCATTTCCTCCTTCCAATAACTAACTGTGGCAAACCAATGGAGAACAGTTTTTTCTTTACACTTCAGAGTCGCTGCTCTTTGCTTTGTTGCTTTCATATCCCGAAATGCGTTATTAGGGTGACCCAAGACTGCGGAAGAAGAACTGCAGCTCCGAAGGCTTGCATCTTTGTAAACTGAAGCCCGGACAGAGAGCCGTCCCAGTCTGGGAGCCCCCGGCGATCGCTCACTCAGAGCAGCGTCGCCCAGCGGGCAAAGGCAGCGGGTGTGTTCCCTGGTCTCCCTCCTACCCGCAGCTCCAGGCGCCCGGGAGAACTCAGCCGGCGCTGGGAGGCCGGGCCGCGGCCGAGCGGGTTCCGCTATTGGCTGGCGGGACGACGGAGGAGGGGGGCGGACTCCGTGATTGGTGGAAGCTCCAGCCATAGGGGGCGGGGCCGCTATATCAGCGGAGTCCTTGTCGCGGCGCAGGCAGTTGGGCTGTTAGAGTGCGGCGTCGCCGCGGAGTTGCGAGCTGGGCTGCAGGCGGGTGGCGGGAGGGAGAGGCGGCTGCCGGGCGCTGAGGTCGGTCTGCAGAGCTCCAGCTTCCCGACGGGCGTATTTGCTAAGCCTGGGGCTAGGTTTGAGCCGTGGCGAGGCGGCAGCGCAGCGCACACCAAAGAGACGGCGGCAGTGGCGGCCCCAGCCATGCTGTGCTATGTGACGAGGCCGGACGCGGTGCTGATGGAGGTGGAGGTGGAGGCGAAAGCCAACGGCGAGGACTGCCTCAACCAGGTGAGGACGACGGGCCAGGCTGGCGCCCCGCTCTTAGGAGGCCCAGGGGCGTCGCGGTGACTCGGGAAGACTGAAGGTAGCGGCAGCATTGCCGCGGGGCCCGGGGGAGCGCGCCCCAGGCGCACGGCCGGCCCTTTCCTCCCCTCGCTTGGGGCGCGCCGTGTGGGGGCGCGGAGAACGCGCGCTCCGGGACCCTCGGCGCCGGGGGCCCGGACACCCTGCCCCCAGCCGGCACACCTGCTGCAGGTGTGCCTGTGATGCTGCCTGTGGTGTGGATCTTCGCCGGGCCTGGCGGCATCTCCTGGGATGGGATGGTTCCAGGCGGTTGCGGTGTCCCTCGAACTGGGCCCTTGTCTCTCACTGCTTCTGAGATGGGCTGTTCAACCAGCATCTCAGGATTTGCTCGGTTGAGAGGATTGTTGGTTTTTGGTAATGTACTCCCTGGTCGTTTCCTAAGTATGCGTTTTCCAAAGAGTGAAGAAAATATAGTGCATAGTTTGGATGGCAGGCAGCGTATATGATCCCAAAGTAAAATGCTGTGCTTTCCAAAGTCCTTGACTTGAGATGTTTAGGAAACGTCTTGCGAAGCTTAGTGGACACTTGTAGCATGTGTCCTCAATAGGTTTGCTTTGTTGGAGTCTAGAGAGTTAAAATTGTTCAGACAACAAGCTGCCAGATCAGCTGTGTGCATTGTGCTAGTGGAGGAAAAGCCAGTGACTGGAATGAGAAGGAAAATGTTCTGTGGAATTCCCTCCTTTGCCTGTTTAAGCCTGTGTTTTGCAGTGGGTGTCATTGCCCATGCTCAAAGTATTAATGAAAGGACAAGTCTCCAAACTACACCTAATGGTCTTGTTAGCATCTCTAGAACCTTAGCACTTTCTTCCAGCTTACAGTTTGCAACAAGAATATAATATCCCAAAAAGTATACAGGGATCTTGGGTGGTCTTTGAGTACATGTATATTTTGCTCATCTATGGTGCATTCATATTTGTTTCAGGTGTGCAGACGATTGGGAATCATAGAAGTTGACTATTTTGGACTGCAATTTACCGGTAGCAAAGGTGAAAGCTTATGGCTAAATCTGAGAAATCGGATCTCCCAGCAGATGGATGGGCTAGCCCCTTACCGGCTTAAACTGAGAGTCAAGTTCTTTGTGGAGCCTCATCTCATCTTACAGGAGCAGACTAGGTAACCCAAACCCATCGCTGTCCAGTAGATTCTGACTAGGAAAAGTGACGCTAAAATAAACGAATGCCAAATACACCTTTCATTCCACTTAAACAACTCAGTGCCGCCTTACCCAGAGATGTTCACCAGCAAACTTGCTGCGTTACTTTCACATTTTCCCTGGCACGGCCCTTTCATTTGAGGTGAAGAGGGAACTGCATAGTTAGCTTGGGGAACAATTTCCAACTCTGTTTTTGATTTTTTTTTTTTTTTAAGCTTTATAAACTTAATGAAAGAACTAAGTTGAAAACTTTTAAATATTTGGAATCAGTGCCACAGTGCAAAACAAAACAAAAATCCACCCCCCCCCAAAAAAAAAAAAAACCTGACTTCCTGGTTGTAGGGAAATCTTCCTGGTAAGCCAGTAAATGCCTGATAGTAACCTCTGCCTCAGCAGTGTTACTATAGGTCATTTATAGACTGTTCTCTAGCAGGAAACAGTTCCTCTTTGGTTACTTCAACTTGGTCAACTTTTTCAGCCTAGTGTCAGATTACAGTGTGTAGCAATGAGCTGTCTGACTTCATGCAGAATTTTTTAGGTTTCTTGAAAATTCAATAAAAGAACTTGTAAATGCCGATGTAGCTGCATTCCAACTTGCAGATAAATTGTACAAGATCACTGGGTTTCAATTGTTGGGTTTCTCTCTTTGCATTCTGAAAAATGCCACCAGGAGTGGTAGACAACCAATGTTTGTGGTTTCCCTATTCAAACAGAAAAAATGTTTCCTTCCCAAGTCTGATTGTAATAACTTTTCTGCAAGATGAGCCAAACTAGGAAATTGGTGTTTCATATTTATTTCTGAAAAGCAAGAGCCTTAAATCATACTGTGGCATGTCAGAAAAGGAAAATGACTGCTTTTAAACTTGACAAACTGGGTCTGAGTGCTGTTTTTCCTAATCATTGGAAATTGGCCAGGCACATGAAAAATATGAGTGAAAACTCTTGAGTAACGATGAGTGAACAGTATCTTTTCAGAGTTTTTAACATGTTATTTTTGTTCATTTACCAAAATACTGATAGAAACATTTTTGAAGTTGACATCTGCTTTGCCTTGTTTATGGAACTTTAAAGAGTGAGGGAAATGTTTAATTTTGTTTTTGAAAGAAGCTGGTATATTCAATTTTTAGTGCTTCTGAAAATGTCTTGTGAAATAGTCAAGTGATTGCATGCTGAAAGATGTGTTAGCTATCTCTATTATTCAGAATAATTTTTATTTTATTTCAGTTAATTAAAGTTCATTTGTGGAAACCTCCACTTTGCACCAGATTGATAGATAACTTGCAGTTGAGTAGATCACACGCATACAAACACACACACAACTTAAAATCCAGTTACCTTTAGCCAGTTATGACTCATGGTGTCCCCATGTGTGTCAGAGCTGTTCGAACTGGGCTTTATAGGATTTTCTGTAATGGAATTTTCAGAAGTAGATCAATAGACCTTTCTTTTTTTTTTTTAAGGTTTTTATTGTGGATTGAGTGAAAGTTTTCAGGGCACATCATCGGTTTCATATTCAAACATTCATATACCTTGTTTCATTACATTGATTATAGTCCCCTCCACATACCATCAGTTAACAGAGTTTCTCTCTATCCTCTTTAGTTTTTTTTTGTTTTGTTTTCGGGGGGGGGGGCAATAATAGACCTTTCTTGTATAGTGCTTAAGTGGACTTGAACCTCCAACCTTTTGGTTAGCAGCTGAGTTCTCAACCACTGGCACTACATGAGGGAGGAGGGACTCTCTCACACACGCATACACACAGTATGTGTTATGCATATATGTATGTATATGTAGGAACCAACTTGATAACACAGAACAACAATACTATGTGTAAGCAGCCTCTGGGTGTTGTTAGTAGATAAGTCCTTAACTGCTCACCAAAGAGGCCTGGTGATATCGTCCATAGCTTTGGAAACCTTTGGAAGGGTAGGTAGCTCTACTCTGCAGTACCTGGGGTCGCACTGAATCAGAATCAGTGTCACTGGTTTGGTTTCTTGTTCTTTTGTTTATATGTGTATATTTGCGTGTATCTATGTATCTGTGTTAAACCTCACAACATATTGAAGAGTTCATTGTGTAGCCTTACTGATTTTGCAGTCATCTCGGAGCTTCAAGGTAACAAACTTATTTTTGATGACACAAATTTATTTCTCAAATCTGCAGAAGCTTGTAGGACCCAAGACTTTATGTAAATATTAATAATTGTTGCGTTGGGGGATAATGCGCTGGACTGCAAGGTCTCTTTGAACTGCAAAGTCGACCATTCAAATTCACCAGCTGTTCCTCAGAAACCCTATACAGGGTTGCTATGGGTAGGAACTGACTCGACTCGACGACACTTCACAACACTAGTTGTATTGAAATCCTAGAATGGCACTGTAGGATACACTGGCTAGTTAACCACAAGGTTAGTGGTTCAAATCCATCAGCTGCTCTTAGGAAACGCTATGCAGAATTGCTATGAGTCAGAACCGATTCACTTAACAGAACCACACTTAACAGAAATAATAATAATATAATGCATTTATGATTTTTCAGACTTTAATAGCGACTACTAGATGATCTTTAGGAGTCCTGGTACAAAGCACTTGACCACAAGGTCGGTTTGAAGCACAAGGTCAGCGGTTCAAACATATCAGCCTATACAGGGTCACTATGAGTTAGAACCAACTCAACAGCTCTAAACAACAAAAACATGATTTTTATCTTTGTTTTCCTGTGATTGCATTAGTTCAGGTTATCAAATCCATTTTATTCATTTGAGAAATGGAGACATTTTATGAATTAGAACTGGAATCAGGTTTTTCTATCTTGGTTTTGACTCTATTGAATCAGTGGACTTTGACTCTAGAAGAGTCATAGCTAATAGCACTCAACAAATGCCCGTAACCAGTTTGACCTGGTGATTTTCATGATCCTCTTTGAAATCATATTGAAAAGACAGTGTAGTCAAACATTTGGGTTGATTTTTAAAACACAGGTAAATTTTGAATGTTTGGGGGTTTGACTGAATTACAGAACTTACATATGTATGTACGTATGTGTGTACATATATATTTCAAGGTTGGTGGTTCAAGCTCACCAGTGGCTCCTCAGAAACCCTGTACAGGGTTGCTATGAGTCGGAACAGACTCCACGACACATAACAACAACAACAGGGTTTCCAGGCTGTAAATCTTTATGGGAGCAGAAAGCCTCATCTTTCTACTGCAGAACAGCTGGTAGTTTCGAACTGCTGACCTGAGGTTCGCAGCCCGATTCGTAACCACTATGCTACCAGAGCTTCATATATACATAGCCATAGGATAAGTATTCAACCTCAAGGTCAGTTCGAACTGCAAAGTCGGTGATCAGTAGTTCTAGCTCACCAGCCACTCCTTGGAAACCCTATACAAGGTCGCTGTGAGCCAGAACTGATTTGACAGCACTCAACAACAGCTATATATATATATATATATATACACACACACATACATACATACATTCATTTGTGGTTGCTAAATTGATGTGGAGTCGGTTCTGATTCATAGTGACCCTGTATAGGGTTTCCAAGGAGTGGTTAGCAATCCAGTGCTTATCCTGCAGTGCTATACAAGGACTTCATGTGTGTGTGTGTATACACATACACAGAATCCTGGTGTGGTCCTGTACTGCAAGATCACCAGGTGCTGGAAAGGAGAAAGATAAGGCTTTCTGCTCCCATAAAGATATATAGCCTCAGCAGACATGAAGACATGGAGAGAAAGAGCAGTTGAGGGACTCTGTGGACTCATAGAAATAGAAAGACTGTGTGCTGGCGGCCAGGAGGCAGGCTTTCAGAATGTGCCCTTTGGTGGTTTAAATGTTTATATATTCCAGAGTGCTTTAGTGTACATCAACCCCTCCCCCCAAAAAAACCCCCAAAAAACAAAAAACGGACTAGAAGCAAAAATACTGTTGAAATGGTGATGCACGGAGGAGATTGTTATCATTGAAACAAAATATAATAGCATGAGTGTAAAACCAATGTTCTCCCATGTAAACTATCACTCAATTCACAATTTAAAAAAAAAAAAAAAAAGGTACACCCTTGGAAGGTCTATGGGGTTGCTTTGAGTTGGAACCAACTCAATGGCAGTGAGTTTGGAGTTTTGGGGGCATATATAAAGTTCTGGTGTGGCACTGTAGGATCAGCACTGGACTACTAACCACAAAGTTGGCAGTTTAAACCCACTATCCACTGCTTGGAAACTGTATATAATAGTCACTATGAATCGGAACCAACTCTACGGCAATAAACAGGCACCTAACAGCAACAGCATATATGTGTGGTGTGGCACTGTGGGTACTGGATTGCAAAGTCAGTTTGAATGGCAAAGTCGGCAGTTCAAACTCACCAGCCACTCCTAGGAAACCCTAAACAGGGTTGCTATGGGTCGGAACTGACTAAGCAGCACATAACAACAACATATATATATATGTATGTGTATATGTGTGTGTATCTTTTGGTATGTGTGTATGTCTTTTGCCTTAATAACTAGACAATGTGTTGTATAATTTATAATTAGCTTTGGCAACTTTTAATTAGGATATCACAAGTTGTCTTGGGTCCAGTTTGCTTTGCAATTAATGCTGTCTTTATGTGCATGATCTTATATAACAAAAATATTTATCTTCCCTAATGTTAGGTTAAGGAGCTCTGATAGCATAGTGGTTACGAATCGGGCTGTGAACCACAAGGTCAGCAGTTCGAAACTACCAGCTGTTCTGTGGGAGAAAGATGAGACTTTGTGCTCCTGTAAAGATTTATAACCTCAGAAACCCTGTACAGGGTCGCTATGAGTCAGAACTGACTCCATGGCACATCATAACAACAACAACAACGTTAGGTTAGCAAAAGTCAGATGGTTGAGAAACTTTTTTGATGTTTAATTAATTTGGTAGGAAGCATTCATACTAACTACTGTGAATATAAAATAGT